CTGGCATGTCTCATAAATTGTGTTTCAAAGGAAAGTTAGTTTCCCACACATACTCCCATTGAAGTGTGTCCTTTCCCTCTCAAGTGTAGATTCCTTTGTGGGGGTCTCCTTTTCACCAGTCAAGATGGAGAGAAGCCTCCTTAAATACATATTAAGCTTTCGATCCGTGGTCCCCAACACGGTGCCCGCGGGTGCCATGGCGCCCGCGGGGGCATTTGTGTGCGCGCACCAAGTGCTCGGGGCTGGCCTGGCCCCGGGCACATGACGCACGGTGAGCGCCGGCCCCGGGAGCGCCGCGGATTAGCCGCCCGCGCTCTGGGCGCGCGGCGCTTGGGGAGGGGAGAGCGCCGGCCCCGGGCGCACGACGCTTGCGGGAGGGGAACGCCGGCCCCCACAGCATTTCAAAGTGGCAGTGCTGCACAGAGCTCCCCCGCTGATCTCTGGCTTCATGTGGCGCTGCCACTTTGAAACACCACAGGAAGCCTGGGGACACCCCAGCTGGCCCTGGGCTGCACGTGGCTTTTCAAAGCGGCAGCGCCTCATGCAGTCCAGGATCTGGCCCCAGGCTTCAAGCAGCACTGCAGCTTTGAAGTATCCTCTCTTGCCCCCCCTTCCCCCTTGCTGCTACTATCTGATAGAGGCGGCGGGGGGAAGCGACTAGTCGACTGTCTTGTTGACTATCCAATATGCATTTGCTGATCGGATAGTCAACTAATCCTTCACATCCCTATTTCTCTCTACTTGACAGAAGCACACAAAGGTGTGATTGGTGGTTTTTGTGTAAAACCATTTCTTTCATCTGTAGACATTTGAGAGCTACAGGTAATGTTCTAGATTAGTGGTCACCAACCAGATCAGGACCTACTGGTAGATCTTGGAGCCTCTGACAGGTGATCCTGAGTGGTTTGGCCAAGAGGCTATATCAAGTGCAGGCACTTCAGCCGCCCATACCACCACTGCTGCACATCTCCTGCCCTTTGCCTTGGAGCTGCTGTCCCCCACCCCCGGGACCTCCTGCTTCCTGTACAGGGCAGGGGAGGGAGAAGAGGTGCACTGATGTTAAGGTGTCCCCTCTCCCAGCCTTTATCCTTTCTTCACAAAGCAGACAGGGGGCACAACAGGACTTGGGATGGAGTTTTCTGGCTGCTTTTGGGAGGGTGCAGGGCCAAGACCGGGGTAAGCCTGCCTTAGCCCCACTGCACCACCACCCAAGACCCACCTGAGGTATGCAGTGCCCAGCTGGAACCCACATACCAAACTCCTACCCCAGTTATGAACCGCCTCCTGCACTCCAAACTCTTGCTCTATCCCGAACATCCCTTCATCCAAATGCCGTTCCAGAGCCTGCACCTAAAACCCCCTCCTACATCCCAACTGCCTTCCCCAAGCTCAGCTCTGAGCCCCTCACCACTCTAAATCCCTTAACCCAAGACCAGAGCCTGCACCCCAACTCTCTGCGCTAGCCTGGTGAAAGTGAGTGAGAATTGGCAAGAGATGGGGGATGAAGTGAGCAGGGGCGTGGCCTCAGAGAAGGGGAGGGAAGGAGACGGGGCAAGGGTATTTATATTTGAGGTAGATCTTGGATTGCACTTAAAATAAAAAAGTGATCTCGTGCTTAAAAAGGCTGGAGACCACTGTCCTAGATGGTACACAGGAGGGTTGGCCCAGACTCAGTGGGTAAGCTTCTTGAAAGGCTCTGTATATATTGGAAATAGCTATTCTCATAGGGTATGTCTACACTTGCTGCCTATTTTGGAATAGGGCTGCAAATGTAGGCATTTGGAATTGCAAATCAAGCCTGGGATTTAAATATCCCGTGCTTGATTTACATCTTCCCGGCCGGGCGCCGTTTTTGAAATTTACATGCCTGGAATAACTGCCTGCATCTACACGCAGCAGTGAAACGGGCAATCGAAATAAAGCCCTATTATGAACTACCTGTTAAACCTCATTGCAGGAGGTTTATCTACCTGTACAACCTCATGGTAGACGCAGGCAGTTATTCCGGGCTTGTAAATCTCAAAAAGTGGCTCCCGGCCGGGAAGATGCAAATCAAGCATGGGATATTTAAATCCCAGGCTTGATTTGCAATTCCGAATGCCTACATTTGCAGCCCTATTCCGAAATAGGCTGCAAGTGTAGACATACCCATAGATAATAATCATGGTTATCCACATATGTGCCACAGTCAGCTCTGGGGCTACTAGCACTGAAGCAGCCACCTCCCAGCTGCCTGCTTTTTTCTGATTTATGATGGGTTGGGTTAAGCAGCAAAAGCTGTAGTGCGGGGTGGGCAAAAATTTTTAATCGGGGGGATGGCACTCCAAGATTTTGGCAAGTAGTCAAGGGCTACATTTCTGCCAAGAGAGCTTGGAATCTGGGACAGTGGTTGGATGCAGAAGAGAGCTTAGGAGACTGGGTGGCAGGAGGGCATGTTGAATCTGAGAGTGAATTTGGGTGAAGGAGGGGGTTGTGATCTGGGGCAGGGTCCAAGGACTATGGGTGAAGGAGGATTCTGGCCTGAGGGAGGAGCTCTAGGAGGAGATGTAGGGCTTGGGAGGGAGTTGTGTCCTGGGGAAACGGGTACAGAGAGTTTGGGTGGTGGCCTGGAGTGGGTAGTTATGGGGGGAGAGAGAGAGTGGGTGTGAGAGGCAGGCTCTGGTTGGGAAGCGCTTACCTAGGTGGCTCCCAGTAAGCACCCCTACAGGAACCTGAAGGGTGCAGAACCAAGTTGTTCCACATTGCTCTGCTCCAGGCAGGGTGAAGAAGCATGGAGGGGAGGGAGGGAAGAGTCTTCACTGGTTGACCCTGCTGCCAGCAAAATATTTCAACAGCTATTGGTTGGAAACTGACCAGTGGGACCTGAGAGATTTTCCTGAGGAGTGAGACAGAACACAAAGCCTCCCTCCTCACTCCCAGAATAGAGCAGTCACATTGAAAGGGTCTGTTGCTGTGCTCTGCTTAGGGTCCCAGTAGCCATGGGCCGAGCCGGGTGCCTGTCAAGGCCGAATCTGGCCTGCTTGCAGCCTCTTGCCCACCCCTGCTGTAGTGCTACCTGTTAGTTCTGCTATTGCTATACATGGTTCAGGATGTGGGGTATACACGCTTCAGCTTATTTTACAAAATTCCTCACAGGGCAATTACAGACAGGTAAAAAAGCACACAAGGGGGGAGGTTGTGGATCTTCCTGTGTTTCTTAGACTGGAGAAAGATGGGATAGGTGAGATTGAGAGGATGGTTTATTGGTTGAATGTTTGTTTGCTTAATGTGCCCAGTTAGTCTGACAGCTGACTCTCTGCTTAATCATTGCTTAATTTTTAAGCTCTTTGGAGCAAGGACTCTTTTTTTTTTTCTTTTTTTTTTCTCTGAGTGTCCAGTGCCGTGGACAATGTAGACTCAATCCAGGACTGGGGCTCTCAGGTGTTCTGCTACAAATAATAATACTAAATATAATGCATAGACCTCTGGTTGCACCTTCGTAAGTACTAAGTATGTACCACTGTATATGTTCTGTGAAAAGACTGAGACAAAATTGTTTGGAAGTTTTCAAAAATGACTATAGGATTTAATCGCACAACTCCAATCAAAATTAATGAGTTTTGGAGCTAAATCTCAGTCAATGTTTCTAGAAGCACTGGCAAATCCACTGGTAGTGTTCAAAGTGCCATATTTTTGAACCCATTTTTCTGTCTTCTAAAATGTGCCAGAATGATAGTCCATGCTGCTATAACTTAAATCTTTCATAAAAGAGCAAGGCCATCAGGGAACCCTGACAGCGATCTGTAGATAGTACTGCCTCACCTAAAACATGCACAGAGGGTTGATGCTTGATGCAGGGGAATAATTCCTGTCCTGGCTGTGCAGATATTGTGCTGACAGATCTTGTAAAAGCAGCTCCTGCAAATGTGTTCTCAAGCTCAACAGCTTAAAGATGTACATGGTAGGAAATCAGAGGGCAGGACGGAGCCCATTTAATTTTATCCAGCTCTGAAATCAATCACATATTTCCAGCCCACTATGTTCTTGGATTTAAATAATGGATCTTAAGCTGTTCAAAAAGAAATCCCGCTCAAGGCAATTTTTAAGTCCCAGTGTCTTCTATTTTACTATGGCATCTTAAATGATGCTCAGGTCTACCAACAGGGGGGCAAAGGGAGCAATTCGCAGGGGGCCCCAGCCGCTGCCACTGCAGCAATGGCAGCAACTGGAGCCCTGGGCCCTTTACATTGACAGTGGAGCACCATGGTGCTAAGGGCTGGAAGATGGGGGGGAGGGGCACCGTGTTCTGGGCAGCACTGAGAGCCGGCTGCCCTCAACCCTGCCCCTTTTACCCTCAGTCCTGCTCCTTCTAGGAGCACAGAGCTGCCCTCACTGGCCCCAAGGACTCCTTTTTCACCCATCTGACTCTAATTCTGTTATTTTCCCCACTTTCTTTTATATTATACTATGTGCACAATTGAATTGGGGCGGCACTCTGGAGGTGCACCGCCCTCACATGTCCCCTCCCTGCCCCTCTGAGTGGCCCTCCCTGAACCCTCATTCCCTATAGGCACCAGTACCCCCTGACTATGTGAAATATGGAAATCCCATTAACAGAACAAGGAAACCAACAGGGGAAATGCTGTCTTGACATGTCCGAAGTGCCCCTCCTGCCCCAGGAAAGGTGTTCATATACTAGTTCAAATTGCTTGTGGTTAAAGCACAAAATTGAGAGCCTGATTCTGTTACTAATTCACGTGGTCACCTTGGGAATGTTGCTTAACCTCACCCTTTTCAGTTGATCTCAGAGAGATGATAAAACTATGCACTCTACCCTCCCTTACAGGGCTGCTTTGAGAACCAGTGCTAGTAAACTGAGTGGACAAGCTCAGCCCAGAGGAGCTCTGCAAGTGTGAAGTATTAGAGCAATGCTATTTGTCTAAGCTGTTCACTTGATCAGAAGTAAGAGAGGTTTGGATCTACCCTAACACTAGCGCTTTGATTTCTGTTAGTCAGTGGATGTCAAGGCCCTTTGCAAAGGATGTCAGTATCATTACCCACATTTTGCAGATGGGAAAATTAAAGCACAGAGATGCTAAGTGACTTGTCCAAGGTGACTAGCAGATCAGGGAACAGAACTGCGGTTTCCTGAGCCACAGATTAGTGCTGTATCCGCTGGGTCACACTGGCTCACGCTGTATCCAGTTTTTAGGTATATCACAGTCCTTGTTTCTTTCTTTTCTGGACTATTCTATGTGGAGGGAATAGCAAAGTTGGCAGTTGCAACCCTTTCTCATTTTTAAAAGTAGGTCTCAATCTTTTTTCTGTAGCTTATAAATCAGCCGGTAGCTGCTGGAGTAAAAGTATCAAGACTCATACAATACGTCCCCATTTGTCTTGTTTCTTCCAAGTAACATTCTTAGCAGATACAGTCATACTAGCCCTGGAACAGTGTTTATTTCCCTCCAGCCAGACCTTTTGCTTCTCCTGGCACTCTTGTGGGAGTGAGATACTTGGTCAGCTTCTTCACTAAATTCTGAGCCGGGTGGAGGCCTGGTTATTCTGTAGCCAACACTCCTCTGGTTCTACTCACTAGTTCTTTAATAAAACCAAATAAAAAAGTTAACAGTTTATGATAACATCTGCATAGTATGCCAAGTTATATTTTCCACCAGTTTAACTGCAGATTTTATCCACAAGAGATCCCAGATAGCCTGAGTTAGTGAAAACAAACACTTCAAAAGTTTTAAAAACAATCTATTTTGAAGAGATTTAGCCCTTTATATTTGATCATAATCTAAACAGATAATATAGAGTTAAAAATGGATTTTTCTCTCCTGGTTCTTGTTTTTAAAATAACTATAAATTTAATTGTATTTACAAATACTTTGCCAGATTCCCTGAAAGAATAAACTTCCAACACCTGTTTAGAGTTCCCCTGGCAGATGGGAGATTGTAGCTGCTTTCAATATACTTGTAATGTTGCTCATGAATCATTGAAAGTCTCTTGATCTGTATTACTTTTCATAAAGCCCTAGTTCCTGGATTCATGTGAATAATAGAGAATCTCAGCTTTCATTAGAAAGAGGGGGGAAAAGTTTCTATACCCATGGCATAGAAAAATGCTGAAAAACATGAATCCTAAAGGTACAAAAATTTAGAAGGGGAAAAAAATCCAAATCTATACTTTTAGTCATTCTTCATTTTTTTTGAATGTTTGTAGTAGGCAATGCTATCGTCACAGATTTTAGTCTGGCTGCCAGTATCAACACGGGCTGTGAAATTTCATATAGTAATTACTACACTGGAGAGAATTAATTTTATTCCATACACATCACATCCAGAAAAGTAGCAATTTAATTCAGCTAACAACCTTACTGATATAATCCTAATTCTGGTGTCATAACAGAAATCTTCATGCCCAGACAGAAGCTTTCATGCAAAGATTTCAAAATCTTTTACAAACGTGACATTTTTAAGCCTCAGAATTCCTGTAGCATTTTTATAAACAGATAAACTGAATCAGAGTTGAAATAATTTTCCAGAGACTTTTATCTGAGTCAGCACTAGTGATAGAAATAAAGCCTGTGACAGAATGATAATTTTCTGTCATTTCCTGAATGAACGTCATTGAATTGAAAGTCTCAGAGGGGTAGCAGTGTTTAGTTTGTAACTAATAACAATGAGTGGTCCTGTGGCACCTTAGAGACTAACACAAATATATAGATTCATGAGCTTTTGTGGGTGAAACACAATTATTTGTGAAATTTCCACTCCAACTCATCTGATAAAGTGCGTTTTACCCATGAAAACTCATGATCCTATATATTTTTGTTAGTCTCTAAGGTGCCACAGGACTACTCATCATGAATGAAATTACACTTTATTGAATTAGATTAATAATTCCGGGGTCCGTTATATTACAAATGCAGCTGTGTATGTGTTACTGTGGAAGTGTGTGTATTTCCATGGGTAGGGTAAATAGGAACAGTCAGAAGGTAATTAGGCAGATTATCTCAGATTGTGATATATCCAGAGAAGCATCCTTCCTGCCCCCGGAAAGGTGTGCATATACTAGTTTAAACTGGATTCTCCAGGGGCCCATAGACAAAGGCTATGTCTAGACTGCAGCTCTTTTCTGGGATACTGGAGGTATCCTGGAAAAGCTATGCCGTGTCCAAGGAACATGTCTGCTTTTCCGGAAGTTTTTTTGCTATACCTGCAAACCTCATTTTACTAGGCAGAAGAGAAGTGTTGAAAGAGGAGGTTTTTCTGAAATTTGGCACCAAGTAGACATGCCAAATTTTGGAAAAACCTCTTTGGAAAGAAAAGCAGAAAAAGATACACGAAGATACTTGAGCATGTGTTACACTTGAAGTACATGGGCAGTCCAAATAACGTGAATGCGTCTACCCACGTATACTTTGAAATCAAGTATAGGTATATATAAGTATATTAAGTATATTGCTGAACTGTGGTCCATGCTCAAGCTCAGTGAATAATGTTATTTTTTTCTTTTGGTTTGGGGATCAAGATGAAATATTCAGGTATGTGGCAGTAAAGTGGGGGCAGGTGGGGAGGGGAAGCATGCCTTGGTTTGATCCAAAACTGAATTTTTTCAGCTTTAAAAAAAGAGAGAAACTAAACATTTAATTTCATTCAACCTGGAATTAATTTGTTTTTATCTTTTTATTTTGTTTTTGCGTGATTTTTAACCCTTATTGGGTTTTCTAATAGAGCTAAATTTTTAAACAAAGCATCATCATTTTTGTAATGTTGTAACACATTATTTTGACTTTTTTCTAAAGAGTACTTTCAGTTTTCAGATTAAATTATTCACTGAACTTGTGAGTAATTTTGGTACCCCAAAACATGCATTTTTCAGTGAAAATGAAAAACTAGCAGAAAAAATTGTCCGGTTGAAGTTACTGTACATAACTCTAAACAAGGGATGCTGTACCAAGAAGCATAACAATCTGAAACACCATGTATTGAACAGTATGGGTTGTATTATTAAATGAATATATGATAAATATTTGCAAGTGCACTAAAACATTAAAACTGTTACCATTTTTAAATAGGATCACTTCAGTTTCCTTCTGGCAAGTGCAGAACAACTACAGAATGCCACACTTCTATAAAAGCTCATCTGTTTTCCTATGAGGATGAGTAGAGAGAGAAAGGCTGAGACCACAATGTTTGTAGTACAGTAAGTCAGCTTTAGCCTCCACCCGCCTCCCACCCCCCACCATGTAAAACAAAAAAAGACACGGCCACTTGAGCCAGGACCACCATGCTGAGCAACAAGAACCCACACAGTTCTCCTTTGAAGTGAGACACACAGTGCCTATTATGTTTGCAGAAATCGAGGGAGAATTCAAGAAGCACATTGGAGGGGTTAGGTTACATACTGGGCATGGCATACCCCACATGTTAATCTTAATTACTATCCAAGTCTACACATTTTTATATAATCTTATCTGCTAAGATCTGTGTTTGGAGAGCTTTGTAGGACAGATGGATAAACAGAATATTTTAATATTGTTGCAAGTGAAGTGCTCTTTTGTAGATGACTGTATGTTTAGAAGTTTTTAATAGGAGCAGGCTACATTTTGGTGCTTTCTTTTAAAAATTCAGTTTATTGATGGAGATAGTGAGAAGTTAAAGTCTGGAAACTACTCAGGGGGTATCATACAACTCAACCTAAGAGTGGCAGAATGAGGTAATAGCTGATTTGTCAGTCAATTAAGCAAATTGCATTGTAGCAGAATCGGCTCACAAAATTGCTCCTGTGCGCCCCCCTCCCCCATGGGCTCCCACCCTCAGATCCATCCCCTCCCCCCCCCGACCTCCGGCTCCCCTATGCTCACTGGGGAGGTGATTCAAAATGGTGCTTAAGATAGCGGCTGTCGATGGGAGCCCGATATGGCCAAAAAGCCTAAGCTTGTTTCTTTAAGGGGGGCTCTTCACATTTTTTCCGCCACTGTTTCAGCTCTCTTTGTTAAATGGGCTGGCCACCCCTGCCCCAGATCATTCCTGTAGGTCTTGCTTCATAGATGTACTATGCGAACCTCAGGTAGGGCCAATAATCCTCATCTAGTTTTAGATATAGTCGCTCCTCGGAAAAAATCTGTCAGTGACAAAATATACATAGCATCTTTTAAAATGAGAGGGAAAAGTTCTGAATCAGTTGTCTGAATATTTCTGACATACTGTCCTCCAGCACATCATCCAAGTATCCTTCATTACATAGGATTATTGAAAATCAGTCATGCTCATTTTAAAAATGTGGTTACACTAAGCCACAGAAGCTCTTTAATTTTACTTGTGAACTAGCAACTAATTGATAAGATTCCAAATTGCTTCACCTATTGAATGATGTAATACTCTTGAACTTTAAAAAAAATCAACCTTACACAATTAATAAAAGAAAGGCTGAACAAAACAGGTGTCATGCTTAAAAGTGGCCTTAGAAATAGCTAGGTTGGTTATCAATGAATGAGGCTTTTTGTAATAAAAACAATCAAATTATGCCCTCAGAAAAAAAGGGAATTTTCATAATCCTTTTTTCAGGTAGAAATTTGCCTCATTTGCATCCGTAGCCAAAAAAGCAGAAGTAAAAATTAAAAATTGTTTTGCTTTTCAGAAAACTTACTGAAAGGTGATTTATTTTACAGCTTCTTCAGCTCGCAATAGAAAATGTTCATTTTGAAGTTAAAAAACAAAACATTCACTGAATGAATCAAGCAAAAAGACTGTAACAACAACAAAAAATCTTCATTTTTTTGGGAACTATCTTTAACACTTAGTAATGAAGGATCGGAGGAGGGAAATACCAGATAATTGAATGTTGTTGGATTTTTTGTTTAAGAAAATGTTTCCAAGCTTTTTATGTGACATGGTTCAGATGCAAAAATAAAGATACTTTTTGCTTTTAAAATGTACAGAAACATTTGTCCTAGAATTACGACACCTCAGCAGTCAGCAGTTATTGAAAAGCAACTAGTGAGAGTATCAACTTTAGTAGATGCAAGGCCTAGCTTCAGCATGAAAGTATTAAATAACATCTGACCTGCACTTAGTAAAGCATTTTTTTGAAATCAGCTTAACATACTTCCTCTAAACAAAACAAGAAATTAACATACTATGGAAAAAAACATTCCAGTTGAAGATAAAATCAATTGCTGAAGTACTATCAGGAGACATAGGAGTAATTGCAGAAGTGTGATTGCGTGGAGACAGCAAGTATTTTGTATTTAAACCACAATACAAGACATCAGGAAAAAAAACAGAAGGTCTTCAATATGGCACTGTCATTAAAATATGGTTCAGTTAAGCAAGTATATTGTACACAGACAAGAGAAGTGCTATGTTTGTTAGCATGTGTGTGGAAGGAACTCAGTATAATGAGACTTATAATAGAACTTTTTTTGGCTCTGTTTCGTCTCTGTTTCAAAGCCTCAACTGCTCTTGAATTCTTAATAAGTTAAGGAATAAGTACTGCAGAAGAGAGAGCAGGCAAAATCTGTTGTAGCAGCTTGTCCTAGTCAGTTTGCCAAAGACTAAATCAGCCTTTTAAAAGAGCTGTTATTTCTGATGACATCATTCCTGCCACTGTCAAAATGTGACAAGCCTTAGATCTCTCTGTCCCCTACCTCTCCAGAGTTTTACAATGACACTATGCAGATTGAAAACATGCAAAAGTACTACTATAAAAGTTAAAAAAAAAGTATACCCTTTCTCTTTGCAAAGGATTTTCATTTAGACCCAGCTATTTCACAAAAACTTTACTTAGTAGTAAATCTTTAAACAAGGCACATTTAAAAAGCTCTGGGTCATTCTGTTTCCATTGTACTGTCTTGCTTTAGGTGTTGTACCATTTTTATAGCAGTAGCCACAACCTGTTTTTTTCCCCCGATTTAGTTAACTTTGAGCCAACTGAAATCTGTAGGTATTTCAAAGATAGCCAGAAGTATTACTGACAAACTAAGTTACTAGCTCTGTTTATTAGTGAATGTTATTTACTTTCTGATCTGAAGCTTAATGAAGGATACACATTATCAAAGTATCTTTAAACATTAAATATTACTTGTCATTTAAACATCACCACAAGCTGTGAACTGTAATTAATGCTGAATGGCAACCTTGAACCCCATGAACCTGATTAATAAGACCATGCATCTGGCAGAACACCTTTAAGATCCTTTATAAAAGAATATCAAAACAGCTTAATAGAACTGACAAACCCCTACCCTACACCTACCCATTTCAAAACCAATTGGCTACAAACACTTTTAAAAAGGACAACACTGCAATGGAAAATGTGTGCATAAAATTAGATGAATTTATGAAAAATTAAATAGCCCATCTACTTAATTGTAGCAAAGACATTTGGGCTATGTCTACACGTGCAGCTTCTTGCGCAAGTAATATGCAAATGAGGCAAAGCGTGGAATATCGCTGTGCTTCATTTGCATACCTAATGAGCCACCATTTTTTTTCAGAAGAGGCTCTTGTGCAAGAAGGAGCATCTACACTGCCCCTTCTTGCGCAAGAAAAACCCTCTTGTGCAATGCCATTACACCTATTACTTGAGAGGAAGAATGGCTTTGCGCAAGAGCCTCTTCTGAAAAAATGGTGGCTCATTAGGTATGCAAATGAAGCTCAGCAATATTCCATGCTTAGCCTCATTTGCATATTACTCATGCAAGAAGCCGTGAGTGTAGACATAGCCTTGGTGTTAAGGGCTGCTAAAGGGTACAGCCAGTACAATCACCAAAGGGTAAAAAACATGTTTGTTTCCTTTCCAGTTCAGATTGTGATAGGACAATTGTTTTCTAGTACAGTGGACAAGAGCATAGCAGACCCAGTTTAAGGCAGATTCATTTACTTTTACTGAATGAGTTTCAAATACACCAAACGTAGTAGAACTTGCCATATTACCCAAAACTGGGTATCTATGAATCTAACAAGTTTTTAAATCTGTTTAGCAGACTAGTTTTATAACTTATTTGAAATTTTCCTGTGTGTAAAGCCCACTGTAATTCCATTTGATATGTTTGCTAGTCTGTTTAGACTTAATGAAATGATGAGTTTCCCCGGTTATTTTGTATTGTCAACTACAGAGTAAAACCTTTCTAGAGCTACTCTATTTCTCAAAAAAGATTGAAACAAGACCCTTTGGATCCTAATGGAATTACCAAATACCAATTGTACTAATTTGCCTGTTATGAAATGAGGTGTCTTAGTATTGTATTTTTGAATCACATGAATGTTCTGTTCACATGCATATACTAAACAAAAATGAGCAATATTCTGTGGACTTGAAATTGCCAAGTCTGCTGTCTCTAAAGACACAATGTACACACCAGCCTGTTCAGTCAGCTGAGCAGTCTTCTCACTTTAATATAACCATACTAAGACAAACTGATAATCAAACAAGTACATATTTATTAAGAAAACATGGATTTAAGTGATGCTAAGCAGAGATAACAGAAACAGAAAATGGTTATAAATCAAAAGTATAATAATGCTTTCTTGGTGACTAAAATTTAACTCAGCAAGCTACAATAATCCTTGTCTAAGAAGTTTCTTACCTGAAAGGAAGAGGTACCTGCCTGATATAGGGCAGTGCATCCGATTCAGGGTGGATCAATTATAGTACTGGTTCTCAAACTTTTTGGGCTCTGGAGTCCTTTACATGTGTAAAAATTTATGCGGAGCCACAGTGGTCCACTGATTGTACGTGTTGTACTTATGAGGAGTCTCAGCGGTCCACTGATTGTACGTGTTGTACCTATCGATGTTTCCAGTTTGTCAACCTCGTGGAGCCCCTGGAGATCTCTTGCAGAGCCCTGGGGCTCCGTGGAGCACAGTTGGAGAAACACTGGATTATAGAATGTACGAAAGATGCCTTCTATTACTAACATTCCATCCTGGAATGCCTTTCTACAATGCCTTTCCAGATGCTCAGAGCCTTTAGAACAGCGTTTTCAAGAGTTTTTGTTGAATAACTAGAAGCAGGACACATGTGGGTGCATGTTGCAGACTACCCTTTTCACCACAGATTGTGAGAAACAGCCCAAGGAACAATTGGCTCTCATAGGGTCCATGCTGCTCCTTTTCAAATGCACAGTTAGGAGCACCATGCAACTAATGGTCAAGGAGGAACTGAGAAGTTACTCTGATAACTCCCCCCACCCCATAAACAAAATGTGCCCAGAACATATTACTTCATGACATCAGGAAATAAGGCAAAAAGAAAAGATAAATATTGCTCTCCTTTTATGTTGCATAACAGAATTCTTACTTACAAGGAGATATGGTGAATCTCAAAATCTGTAAACTCAGGAATATAAGCATGAGACTGTGAGCCACTCAATGGCATCTGTACAGTGTAGAGAACAGCCTGTTGTACTGAATCGCATATCAGGCCTGACATCCACACTACATACAACATATTTCTGTCGCAGTGTATATTTATAAGTGTTGTGTGAAGTATCAAATGAAAGCTTGTGATACACCCATCCTTAATGCCATTGTATGATGTATGAATGTGTAAAGAGTTGTGTATGTTTGGTGGAAATTGATCAGGATGAGATGAACAATGGGCCTTATTGGGAGCATGGGGAAACAGCAGGGCATCACATACCACCTGAGGCCACTGTGCATTGTGACACCCATACTGTCATCCTGACTCTTGAGAAGAAGACAGTGAACTTTGTGGAATATAATGGTTATCCATCACTGGGGGGACAAAGTGGCCAGTGCTCTCTGTGTCTTTAAATGTGTCTTTCAGTGGGTTTGCTCAGGAATGGCACTGGCATATCAAGAGCAAAATTTGAAGGGCTAGTATGTAGCCCTTCATTGGTTGGCTTTTGTTTATGTGGTGGGCATTATATTTAATGTACATGAGTATGTGACCTTCTCACCCTGTTCCAGCCACAGTCCCCACTTCTCTCACAATACATAAGAAGTCTCAGAGGATCAGCCATGTTAGTCTGTAACTTTAAAAACATGTAGTCCTATGGCTCATGAGAGACTAACAAAGGTATAGAATCATGAGTTTTCATGGGGAAAACCAGCTTTATCACTCCATCTCATGAAGTGGGTTTTACCCACAATAGCTCATGCCCTATACTTTTGTTAGTCTCTAAGGGTATGTCTACACTACAGCGCTAATTCGAACTAACTTAGTTCGAATTAGTTAATTCGAACTAAGCTAATTGGAACTAACGCGTCTAGAACTAAAAACTAGTTCGAATTAGCGTTTTGCTAATTCGAACTAGCATGTCCACATTAAGTGGACCCTGAACAGGGCTTAAGGATGGCCGGAAGCAGTGCCAGCAGGGCATCAGAGGAGGACTTAGAGCGTGGAGATGGTGTGTCAGGCTAGCCGAGGGCTGTGCTTAAAGGGTCCCGATCCCCACCCCGGACAGACAGTTCTCAGGGGTGCCCCACTTGAAAACCAGTCCTGGTTTGGAGTGCCCGGAGTGCCCACACTGGGCACATCACACCACTCGGCCATCAGCCCGGCTGCACTTGCTGCAGGCTGCCATCTGGGGAGAGGGAGCAATTGGGGGGCTGCAGGAGAGCTTCCACCCCCAGAAGCCCACAGAGCCAGCCCAGTCCTCCCCATCGGGGGCTCGTGCCCCATTCCTCCCTCACCTCCTTCCACTTACCCTTCCCTAGCCCCTTTTCTTGTTGTACAAAATAAAGGACAATTGTGTTCAAAAATGGAATCTGTCTTAATTAAACAAAACTGGGGGAGACTGGGAAAAAGAGGTGGGAGAGGGGAAGAGAGAGGCTGGGAGAGGGGAGGGCAACTAAAATGATCAGGGGTTGGGAACAGGTCCCATATGAAGAGAGGCTAAAGAGACTGGGACTTTTCAGCTTAGAAAAGAGGAGACAGAGGGGGGACAGGATAGAGGTCTCTAAAAGCAGGAGTTGGGTGGAGAGGGTGCATACAGAAAAGTTCTTCATTAGTTCCCATAAAGAAGGACTAGAGGACACCAAAGGAAAGGAATGGGTAGCAGGCTTCAAACTAGTAACAGAAAGTTGTTCTTCACAAAGCAAAGAGTCAACCTGTGGAACTCCTTGCTGCAGGAGGCTGTGAAGGCTACAACTAGAACAGAGTTTAAAGGGAAGTGAGATCAAGTCATGGAGGTTGGGTCCATGGAGTCCTATTAGCCAGAGGGTAGGAGTGGTGTCCCTGCCCAAAGTTTGTGGAAGGCTGGAGAGGGATGGCACGAGACAAAGGGCTTGGTCACTGTCTTCCGTCCATCCTCTCCCGGGTCCCTAGGGTTGGCCGCTGTCGGCAGACAGGCTACTGGGCTAGATGGAACTTTGGTCTGACCCATGACATCCATTGTAAGCTCAGGGCTCAGGGTCGGGGGTCTCAGTGGACATCCTTGATTCTCTTGCACACCTGCTCCTGGGTGGCCAGGCTGGCAGCTCTCCTGCAC